CGACGCGGCCAAGCACAGGCTGCTGGTGCTGGTCAAGGACAATGGCGAGCCCGCGCTGTCTGCCAGCGTCACGCTGCACGTGCTGCTGGTGGATGGCTTCTCGCAGCCCTACCTGCCGCTGCCGGAAGTGGCGGCCGACCAGGCGCAGGCCGACCCGCTGACCGTGTACCTGGTCATCGCGTTGGCGTCGGTGTCGTCGCTGTTCCTGTTCTCGGTGCTGGCGTTCATCGCGGTGCGGCTGTGCAGGCGGAGCAGGGCCGCCTGGGTGGGTGGCTGTTCGGTGCCTGAGGGCCACTTTCCAGGCCACCTGGTGGACGTCAGCGGTACTGGGACCCTGTCCCAGAGCTACCAGTATGAGGTGTGTCTGATGGGAGGCTCAGGGACTAGCGAGTTCAAGTTTCTGAAGCCTATTGTGCCCAATTCCCAGGGCCATTACCCTGGGGCAGAATTAGAAGAAAACCCTGACTTCAAGAATGACTTTAGTTTTAGTATTCAGTGACCATAATTGTTTATCTTTTTCCAGCTACTTCAATTGGTAAATTCAAGGTGATGAGTTATTTTTGGCACCTATTATGAATTTTTAAATTATACTAAGCTTCCTTGCACGTTTTCTTACATTATTCCTTTCTTTTAAATAATGGTATTTTATCATTTCTTCATTAGTATAAAAGATGAGTGGTCCTAAAACTTGCCTCTCAAAAACTGATGAAGTTAATAATTGTACAAATCCTTGTTCTAGGATAGCTTTAGAATATATTAGGAAAAAACAGTGAAACGTTAATTCTATATATATAATTGACTGTGTTTTCTTGAGAATTTTATATTAGTTTTTAATTATTGGTTATATAAGAGAAGTAATGCACTAACACTCACGGGGAAGTATGCCTAACCAGGAAGGAAAGAGAACTGGCACCATGAGAATTTGGCTCATTTTATTCTGCTCTACTAGTACTATCTTTGATATTGTTTTCTCTTAAAATGTTATATTTACTATGCTTTCTTTCATTAATCTACCTCTGTTAGTTTTAATTTCATTATTTTAATTACTTTTCATTTTGTTTCATTGATGTTCAAAGGAGGGGGAAAGCTACATCGTGTTTATCCAGTGAGATGAAATAGCAAAGCAGCAAATTTGGCTTTTCCCATTTGAGAAACATTGAGTACCCATGACAAAAAATACACTGGCAAGCCAATATCCATTCATTTTTTCTAGTTTCTAACAGATCCTAAATTCCACTTAGGGCATTAGTTTGCTTATTCAAAAGAACACATTTTGCCAACCTCCTTAGGCAGGTACAATGGAGCATTTGACTAGGTTTTAGTCAATGAGATGTATATACAAATGTTGTAGAAGACTTCTAAGAAAGCTGTTTAAGGGAAGATGAGTCCTTTGGGAAGGGGTCCCTTTTGTCCTTCTCTAGTCCTTGCATCTTAGAATGCGTAAGTCATGGTTGGAACACAGTCAGCCATGTTGGATCATAAAGCAACAATAAGAATGGAAATAATGAATGAAGACAGTCAGTATAGAATAAACTTTAAGGAGATGAGGGTCCCTGATGATCACAGAGCCATTATGTCATCCTTGGAATGCCTGCTTCTGAACTTTTTTTTTTACTTGAGAAATAAAGGAACTTCTATCTCATTTAAGCTGCCATCATCATTTTAGTTTTGTGGTACCTCCAGTGAAATCCAACCCTAATGCTTTAACATTAAGATTTTCCATTAAAACATTATATAATAAGTGAAATGCACAGATCTTAACTGTATAGTCTGAGCTAACCGATCTGTTTTAAGTTCTTAATTTTGAATTCTAATTTAATTAAAAGTAGTGTATAGAGTGCTTTACACGAATTACCTTTTTAATCTTCTACCAAACCTTAAGGAAGTTGGCATATTGTCCCCTCCTTTACATATGAGAAGCTGAAGCTAAGAAAAGTTAAGTAACTTGTTCACAAGTCTGAGTAATAAAAGAAAAATTTTTTAATCTATTCTAAGTCTACTTGAATTGAATGCCCCAGTTTTTAACCCATGTGTTATATATAATGGCAGGTGTTTACTGGTAGCATTGTCTTCCTAAGAAAGTGAAATCCTTCTATTCCATGAACGGAACTCCTATGTAGAAATGTAACTTTTGGTTCATAGTTTGTGTGTGTTTCAATGCCACACTGCTCTCGACCAATAAACTCAAAGTTCTTGTGGAAACACTGACCTCTCTAAGCTAGGTCAGACAGCACAATTGATCTTCACCATAAATGAATCAGCCCAAAATATCTTCCTGTACATTCTCAACATGTCACATTTATTATTGCAGAGATGAATGCCCTAAATATAGACTAGAAGTGTCCTATGGTTGTATTTCTTATACTATCCCTTCAGTCTTTTTCCATCATCCCTAAAATATATTTTTCATTTCCTTTGGAAAGTTCAAATTTGCTTTATTATATATATATATACTAGGACCCAGTGCACGAATTCGTGCACATTGAAAGGAACTGTGGGCCATGGGCACAGGGGCGGGTCTCAGCCCATACTCCATGCCCCCGCCCAGCCCCTCCCACCACGGCTCTGGTCCCCTGTCTGTTGGCAGCCCTGCTTCTGCTGCTGCTGCTGGCACCCACTGAGTGATTGGGGCAGGCATCATCAGCAGGTGCAAGCAGCGGTTGCTGCCCCAATCACCCCTCAGGAGCAGATGGAGGTGGAGAAGCCCTCAGGGGCGATCGGGGCCAGCAGCCTCTGCTCGCACCCACTAATGGCACCAAGCGATCAGGACTGGCACCAGGCACCAGCAGAGGGTGCGAGCGGTGGCTCTGGCATCGGCTGTGGGTGCGAGCAGGGGCAGTGCTGGCAGCAGGTGTGAGTGCTGGGCGGTAGCATGGTGCATGGGAGCAAAGAATTTTCAGTAACCACCAGAAGCTCACCCCGATGACAGCGACTGGTGCCCTGTCTTGGTCTGGCGCCCCTGCTCACCTGCTCCACCATCCTGACATGGCTGATCCCACCATGTTCTGCACTATGCTGCCATGTTCTGCACACACCCCCTGGTGGTCAGTGCACATCATAGCGACTGGTTTGGTTGTTCAGTTGTTCTACCATTCAGTCTATTTGTATATTAGGGTTATATATATATATGGATTGAATCTCAGTAACTTCTTGTCCCTTATTTAAACTAAATATAGTGTATTCATTTTAGCATACCATTTGTTTTAAAGCAGCTGTATTCTGGTATTAATCCTAACTAAAATAATTTAAGAAAGTATAGGCAATGTTGTGGAGGAATTTTTATCACTAAGTAATTTAGAGATTCTGGAAATTTAATAGGGAAAATGTGTTAGGTTCCAGTTATTTTCTGTTAAAGTTAACCATAGATCTTTGTCAACTTCTCTTAAAAGTTTGCTGGGGGGAAAAAGATGTCAAGGGTCATAGACACCTTTATTCTGAAAGACTGGTTTACCAGAACTGAATCAGACATTCTTCAGCATTTTCTGTGATAATATTATTCTTGTAGACTGATCAATTTTTGTTGACTCAGCTACTATGTGCATGAAAATCTATGCTTGTATTATGTATTAGGTTTCCATGTTGCTATAAAAATTACCACAAATATAGTTGCTTAAAACAATAAAAATGTACTACCTTATAGTTCTATAGATCAGATCTCAAATATGGGTCTTACTGGGCTAAAATCAAGATGTTAGCAGAAATACATTCCTTTCTTATGGCTCTCGAGCAGCGGTTCTCAACCTGTGGGTTGTGGCCCCTTTGGGGGTCGAACGACCCTTTCACAGGGGTCGTCTAGGACTATCGGAAAACACATATATAATTACATATTGTTTTTGTGATTAATCACGATGCTTTAATTATGTTCAATTTGTAACAATGAAATTGGGGGTCACCACAACATGAGGAACTGTATTAAAGGGTCGTGGCATTAGGAAGGTTGAGAACCACTGGAGGATATCTAGACGATAATCCATTTCTTTGTCTTTTCTAGCTTCTAGGCTGCCTACATTACTTGACTCATGACCCCATTATTTCTTCTTCAAAGCCAGGAGCTTTGTATCTCCTTAATTATTCTTTTGTAATAACACCTCCCTCTTTTGTAGTCACACCTCCCTTTGACCATAACCAGGAAAGGTTCTGTCCCACCCAGATAATCCAGGATGATTTTCCCTTTACAAGGTCTTCAACTTATTTGCATCTGTGAAATCTCTTTTGTTATGAAATATAACAGATTTACAAATTTTGGGAATTAGGCTGTGGACCTCTTTGGGTGGGTGGCCGTTATTCTGCCCACGACAGATGGCTGCTTGGAAGACAATTACCCAGTCTAGTAGTACCATTTGTGTTCAAATTAAGGTTTTTATACCAAGAGCTTAGGCCTTATTGATTAGATGCTTTAACCCCAGACAAGATCATTAACAAACAAAAATCACTAACAAAAACACTGAATGGATAAAGATATCACAAATCTTTGCTGAAATTCAATTCAAATATTAGAAATGGAAAAATGGGACAATAATACAAATCTGATAAGGGACTTGTATCTAGACATATAAAGAACTCTTAAAACTCAATTATAAAAAGACAAATAACCCAGTTTAAAAATGGGTGAAGATCTGAATAGACATTCATCCAAGGAAGATACACAAATGGCCAATAAGCACATGAAAAGATGTTTAACATCATTACTCATCAGAGCAATGCAAATCACAATCCTGAGATACAACTTCACATCCACTAGGATGGCTGGAATCAAAATGTCAGATAATAACAAGTGTTGGGAAGATGTGGGAAAATTGGAAGCTGGTGCTCTACTGGTGGGAATGCAAAATGGTGCAGCTGCTTTGGAAAACAATCTGGCAGATCTTCAATTAAACATAGATATGTTATATGACCTAGCAAGTCTATTCCTAGAGAAATGAAAATATACGTCCCCACAAACACTTGTATATGAGTGTTTATAGCAGCATTAGTCATCGTGATACAAACCACATGCAGAAATAAATTGTATAATATTTAAAAAGTAGAAACAACTCAAATGTCCATCAACAGAGGAATGGATAGTAAAAAATGTGATGCATCTATACAGAGGTATATTATCATGCTGCAAAAATGGACAAAGTACTGACACATGCTACAACTTGGATGAATCTTGAAAACATGCTAAGTGGAAGAAGCCAGTCAAAAAAGTCCACATATTGTTTTATTGCATTCATATGAAAGTCCAGAATAGAAAAGTCAGAAAGTAAATTAGTGGTTGATTAGGACTTGGGGCAGAAAGATGAAGGAATAGGGAGGTGATAGCTGAAATTTATGGTGTTTTTGAGGTAATGAAATGTTATAAAATTGACTCTGGTAAAGAATCCATTACTCTCTGAATATACTAAAAGCCACTGAATAGGTAAATAGGTAAATTTTATGGAATGTGAATTATATCTCATTAAAGCTGTTTTATATTCATATTATCAGAAGTTTGAAAGCTTTACATATTTAAAACTAGTCCCGCTTACATTTCATAACAAACAGAAAAACTAAATCAGAGAGTTGGTGGTGCTTTTAATTTCAGTTTTAAAATTCTTTCAAAGAAATACATTTTAACATTTCTGTTCCAAGACATTTTTTCTAAATGCTCTAGAAAAGACTTTTTAGTCATTAATAATGCTACACATATGTGTATGTATGCATACACAAATACATGCACAAGCACAGCCTACATCTTATGGACACTTCATTGAAAAATGTTAATGTCCATCATATAAATCTTAGGCTTTAACAAGAAAATATAAAAAAGACGTTGAGGGAAAAATAATTGTTTTCTAGAAAAAAGACGTTACAACAAAGAAAAAGAGCTAGAAGAAAGTTTGTGTAATCCAACAGAATAAAAATAAAAGCATAATGAAAACAAAAAAGAATATAACAAATTACCTGTGTCGTGATTATTAAAAAAAGAGTGAAACTTGGTAAGGTATAACCTTGAGACCTTCCTATTTGGGAAATAATTGTTCGATAATTTGAAAATTGCAGAACCTCACAGTTTTCAGGCTTAGGTGTTGGGAGAAAAAGAAGTGATCAACTCTTTAGTCAAGTATTGGGTTAAACACTTTCTTTAGAACCATTTCTGGTTCAATTTTTCAGTGTACACTCATTTGTAATTCTATAATATGTACCATGAAAATATGTACTTTGAAACGGTTCCAATGTTATTTTGGAAAAATATTTGCTCCTAAATGTATCATTTTCAGCTTAAATGTTAAGTTATTTTATTTAATCATTATTCCTCAACAGCTTTGTACCTCCTGTGCAATAACACAGAATTCTATCTGAACACACAAAAAACACATAAAAAGTTCTATGTTAACACACAAAAAACACACGAAGATAAAACTCAGTGTTTAATGTTACAGAACACAATTTGTTTTATACATTAGGAGAATTTTGTATCCAATGTTAAACCAGAAAGTGTAAGACTTAGTGAGAACGCGTGGTGGCGCTGCAGGTTAAATGATGGAAAATGGAATTGACTGCGCAGCTCGGATATCCAAACAGTTTCTCACTGCCGGGAGGGAAGCTAAAGAATAGCCTTCTCAGCCAGAGCAAAAGTGAGTGTGAAACCTCCTAAAAACTCTATTTCCGGCATCGTTTTGCCGTTCTGGACCGTGGGAACGGGCTGCCAGGATCTTGGGCGTGCATACCTGAAGCTCCTGTGAGCGAAATTGTCAGAAACAGCAATGGAGATTGGATGGATGCGCAATCGGAGACAAAGGCAAGTCCTTGTTTTCTTTGTTTTGCTGAGCATGTCTGGGGTGTGCGCCGATTTAGGGCCCTATTCAGTGATGGAAGAAACAGAGAGGGGATTCTTTGTGGGAAATCTAGGAAAAGATCTGGGATTGGGGTTGACGGAGATGTCCAGCCGTGGGGCCCGGATCATTTCTCAGGGGCAAAAAGAGCATTTGCAGCTCAAGGTTCAGACTGGGGATTTGCTCATAAATGAGAAGCTAGACCGAGAGGAGCTATGCGGTTCCACCGAGCCTTGTGTCCTACATTTCCAAGTGCTTATGGAAAATCCCTTAGAGATATTTCAGGCTGAACTAAGGGTGGAAGACATAAATGACCACTCTCCCGTGTTCACTGAAAGAGAAATGATTCTAAAAATACCGGAAAACAGTCCTCTAGGCATGGCATTCCCTCTGAGTAATGCTCTGGACTTGGACGTAGGAAGCAACAGTGTTCAGAACTATAAAATCAGTCCCAACCCCCATTTTCAAGTTTTAACCCAGAATCGCAGCGATGGCAGAAAATACACGGAGCTGGTGTTGGACAAAGAGCTGGATCGGGAGGAGGAGCCTGAAATCGTATTAACCCTCACAGCGCTGGATGGCGGCTCTCCGCCTCGGTATGGGACCGCCCTGGTGCGCATTGAAGTGGTGGACATCAACGATAATGCCCCTGAGTTTGGGCAGCCGCTCTACCAGGTGCATATTCCCGAGAACAGCAACGCAGGCTCCCTGGTCATCACGCTCTCTGCTAGAGATATAGACAGCGGAGCCAATGGAAAAATAGTATACTCACTCTTTCAGCCCTCAGAAGATATTAGCAAAACTTTGGAGGTAAATCCTATGACAGGAGAAATTCGACTGATAAAACAAGTGGATTTTGAAACAGTTCCATCTTATGAAGTGGACATCAAGGCTACAGATGGGGGAGGTCTTTCAGGAAAATGCACTCTTCTCCTGCAGGTGGTGGATGTCAATGACAATGCCCCAGAAGTGACCGTGTCTGCACTGACCAGCCCCATCCCAGAGAACTCGCCTGAGACTGTAGTTGCTGTTTTCAGTGTTTCGGATCCTGACTCTGGAGACAATGGGAAGACTATTTCCACCATCCAGGATGACCTTCCTTTTCTTCTAAAACCTTCAGTCAAGAATTTTTACACATTGGTAACGAAGAGAGCACTCGACAGAGAAGAGCGAGCCGAGTACAACATCACCATCACTGTCACCGACATGGGGACCCCCAGACTGGAAACCCAGCACAACATCACCCTGCTGGTCTCCGACGTCAACGACAACGCCCCCGCCTTCACCCAAACCTCCTACACCCTGTTCCTCCGCGAGAACAACAGCCCCGCCCTGCACATCGGCAGCGTCAGCGCCACAGACAGAGACGCGGGCGCCAACGCCCAGCTCACCTACTCGCTGCTGCCGCCCCACGACCCGCAGCTGCCCCTGGCCTCGCTGGTGTCCATCAACGCGGACAACGGCCACCTGTTCGCCCTGAGGGCGCTGGACTTCGAGGCGCTGCAGGCGTTCGAGTTCCGCGTGGGCGCCACG